TCTATTAGGTCCCCTCTCAGCCTTCTCTTCTTCAGGCTGAACAAGCCCAGCTCCCTCAACCTCTCCTCGTAGGGGAGATGCTCCAGTCCCCTCATCATCCTTGTAGCCCTCCGCTGGACTCTCTCCAGTAGCTCCTCATCTTTCTTGAACTGGGGATGCACCCAGTGTTTGAGAATGGCAATCAGCAATATTACAAGTGTCCTTGGTACCTCCTCACTAGTTTCTGTGGAGAGCTACATTCTCATCATCTTTGCCAGATGACACTGGTCCTACATGTCTTTGAGCATGAGCCTGGGAACAGTAACATTGCCATTGCTGTCCTTTTACCACTGGCTGCAGCTGAAGATATTTTAGCCTGCTGGAGAACTCTTGAGATCTGCCCTCTCACCTGTGGCACATGCTGTAACTAGGCAGTAAGTGCTGTCTTTCTGCAGCACCGCTCCCAGAGGTGACAATGCCAGGTGGGAGGGCAGGAGGGGGCTTTCTTCACGCCTTTCACATGTGTAATTGACCCTAGTCTCCACAGATTAGCTCTGTTCTACATCCACCTGTTGGATACTAACTGTGGGCCAGGAAGGCAAATCAGTACAGTCTCTCTCAGGTTTCATTCTTCATCTTTGTCAGATTAAGCTCAAATAGATGAGAGATCAACATAATTTATTATATAATATATAATTTATTAATAGGTGCATTAGGGTTACACATTTACACATTTGCCAATATACACCACTTCCATCCTGACAAGCCTTAACCATTTCATTTTTGTCTCCAAGCACAGCTGTGAATCAACACCAATATTATGTACACAGTGTTACCTGGCACAACAGCAGTAACGATAGCTCCTGTGCAAGTAATTTTCTGAACAGACAACAAATAAAATAATGAGGTTCTTGTTTCTACTTTCTTCTTTTATGGCTGTGGTATTTGTCTTCATCCCTGAAACAAAAACACAAACATTGTGTGTGCTGTTAGGCTCAGACTGACGGAATCTGAAGTGGGGGCAGAAGACTTAGAAGAGGGAAAGCTCTCCTAAAATGTAATCATGTCCTCTCCTAAGGAAAGAAAGTAAACTACTTTAAGACAGTTTATTTCTCATGGTGTTTTAATCAAAGCCTTGTCATGCAGCGCCATAGTGGCAATTAGTTTAGGATGAATGGCATTGCTGTATCTTGCAGATGCAAATGTGCCCTGGCTGATGGTATTAGAAGGTGTGGCTTAAATTTGTTTTCTTTTGCCTAAAAATATGTCCAGAACTACTGAAGAGCAACAGCATTGTTTTGAAACATCTACCCTGAAAAGCTAGTCAAGTGATTGTATGTATATACATATTAGTGAAACAAATAATCCTATTTATTAAGTTCCAGTGCAAACTAGAGCGAAACCCAGCATCAGACACGACAAGCACACTTCACTGGTTAAGTGGACAGTAGTCCCCCCATGCACACATTGGTCAAGGAGTAAAACAGCCCGTGGCAGCACTGCGCTAATCCCGTAGCGTGCCGTTGAAAGCGTCACCTTTCAGGTGTGAGAGTAAATTCTGCAGTCTGGATCACAGCTGATGATTTCACAGCAAGTTCTGTTCAGTATCAGTAGCCTCACACCACTGGCTCCTTACACTGTATACGGGATTAGCCTGGCTTTTCAACTGGACTGTGTACTCTAATCCTCTGCACCAAATTGTCGAAGGCAATGGCTACGGCTGCCTGATTAGAAGCAGGAGTCAGCTGACACTCTTTACACTCACCTCTCTCTTTTTCTCCGAGAATCTCTGTCTTTGCCTCTTTCACGACTCCTTTTTCGTTTATTTGGACTCCTGCTGCTCTCTCTCCTGTGCCTGGCGCGTTCAGTATCCTTACAGCTTCCTCCAGACTGCCGTGAGTCCACTGACGCTGACCGCCTGTCTTCCCTTCTGAAAAAAAGGTTACTGGTTTTAGTCAATATTTTCACAGTCACTATTGTTGTCAGTACTGGTTTTGTAATA